GCAAAGACTAGTTCACCTAATTCTGTCACATTTACACGTTCTGAGAGTTAGCTTGCCTCTAATGCCAAGTTTTCTTGAAAAGGTTTTATTTATGGGTGTGAGTGTTGTCTTTTGTATGTGCACCATATTCATGCTTGGTGCCCATGGAGGTCAGAGAAGGGTGTTAGATTTCCTGGAACTAGAGTTAACAGTGGCTGTGACCCACTATGTGGGTGCTGGGAACCAAATCTAGGTCCTCTGCAAGAGCAGTCAGTGCCTTCAAACACACACACACACACACACACACACACACACACACACACACACATATATATCCAATCCAAAATGGTCAGTGTTTTTATGTGTGTGTGCTTGTGTGCTCATGCCTGCCCCAACTTCAAGGTATGTACCGTCTTTCTCTTATACTTCTCTCCCATTTAATGTTCATGCTTACATCTACATTAAAACCTCCTCTTAGTCAATTCCAACTTTATTCTAAAAAAACAAAACAAAACCTTATAGTTTTAAGCATTTACCCTTAATCCAGAAGCCTGACTTTGAAGAATTTAAGCTAATGACACATATCTGGTGGCTTTAAAAATAATCTTCCTGAAGTGCAGTTGCAAAACATTAAAGCCTAAACATGGGAAATTTGTTGAGTGGACACTAGACATGACCGTGAAGTAAAGAAGTGACAGTTCCTATGGGTGCCATGATGATTTCATAAGAAATAAATAAGACAAATGCATATGTTTGTTCTTACATAAAGAAATCCAAGAAAAGAAGCTGGAAAGGTAGTGGTTAAATGATGCACAGGAGGGGGGTTAGATGAGAGTGGGGGGGATGGTGTGTGATGGTGCACCACCTCCTGCAACTTTTCATATGGCTTAGACTCTGGAAATAACAGTACCATCTTACAGACTCAACAATACAATGAAGATGATAAAAGTCTTAAAGCCAAATGAAAAGATAAGCATAACAGCACATTTCAAATAACCACACAGGAGAGAAAAAGAATTGAGCCAAGGATCTTCTGAACATGGCGTTTGGACCATATGCTCCCACTTTAAAGGAGAAAACACTACCAGCAAATCTCCAAGTTTTCTTTGCAGATTTGCTTCCAGAGTGGTGTAAGCATATGACGCTGTGATATTATTTATATGCCTGTGGGACAGAGCAAAGAAGGGAAATGCAAATACAGGCCAGGACAGCAAGGAAGAACGCTGGGATACGGCTCAGTGGGAGAGTGCTTGCCTAGGTTCGATCCCAAGCAAGAGAGAAACAGAGAGATGAAGGAGATGGAGACAGAGAAAGACAGAGGAGACAAAGACACAGAGACAGAGGAGAGAGATAATCAAAGAGACAAAGGTAGACAGAGTGACAGAGAAAGGAAGGGAGAGAAGGGTAGACTAAGGGAAGGAAGAGAAGATGAAGGGAGGGGAGGGAAAGGAGGACAAGGAATGGTCCTATGAGGCTAGATATGGATTGGAGGCATAAATGCATCCCTAGAGATATACATAAGTGCAAGCACTATGAAAAAAAATAAACCAGTCCTTAGTTGAGAAGTATCAAATGCTCTTGAGAATCCATGGATCTCTTTTAGTAGTACTAATAAATAAATGTACTTATATATATACCTATATCAAAAATAGATGGAAACTGTGATATGGAGCATGCAAAACATATAAAGGGTGTAGAAGAACGAAACAAGTGACTATGTACCCTGCAAAGATGAGGCAATTTACAGTCTCTAAGAACTCAGCTTGGCATGCCTGCATCCATCTTGAGCTGCAATGACCGCGACTGGCCCCGAATGATCCTAGTTAGTTTCCCTGTGTAATTTCCCAGCTCTCTACAGACAGAGAACTGTCTCAGGGTATGTGGGGTGCTGCAACAGGACCAGAAGTGGCCCTGACTCAAATCCTAATCTAAGATAATTCCAGTGCAATGAAGTCACTCATACTAGCCAAACAAGTAGCCCCCATTTGGTCCCAGTGATTGGATGCATTTGGACTTGATACCACCGAGGGTCATGCTTCTGTCAGTAAGTCCACAAAATCACACTTCATGTCAGATGCCCACCTCTATATACCAGGATGTTCCAGAGCAATCTTTCAGACCAAACCCAGGAACACTCAACCAACTAACCTTCAATCCCAGACCCTATTACTTTTTTTTTTTTCTATTCTTTGGGTAAGCTATATTGACTTTAAGTCTCATCTCAAGAGTAGGAAGGGACACATAACAAAGCTGACACATGACAACCTGCTATTGGGTCTTAAAGGGTCTTTTCCAGCTCTGACTCAGCACTTGCTCGTGAGGATCAGTCTCAACACAGACGGTTGTACGTGGACCTTGCAACAGGCTTTTTGTTGGAAGAAGTGACCCAGTAGGAACCTGGTCTCCAGCACTAGACTGACAGTTCCTTAGGGAAAAGACAGTGGGTCTTAAATTCCATCCAAATCCACTAATGGTTCCCAGAAGCAGCCATGAGGCCCACCATAACCTTTTTTCTAGAACCTTCACTCCCCACCCTGCGAGAGTGAGCCTCTTGCGAATTCCGGTTATTGTTGGGGCCACAGGATCAGCCTGTGGAATTTCCAGAAAGTCAATCATATCCCAGCAGGGTGTTAATCAGTAACATCCCAAGGGGACCACACTTTGGAATAACAAATATTTGCACAACGCTCTGGGCCACAAGCTTCTGCTTGCCTCTTTGCTCTGAATGATCTTCTTAACACCAGAGATCGGAACTGGTAAGAGGCGGTGGATGGTGGGGTCCTCCTGCATGTCTAACAGGGCAGGGGTGGGGAGAAGCGCTGCTTCCACTCTCTCCTAGTGGGCTTCAAGGTGAGATCTGGGGGGAAGGCATGCTGTCTTTTAGCTTAGACCCCAAAGGGCTGTAAATCCAAGTTGGTCTTGGGGTGGCATAAAAGGCGTGTCAGCCAGAGATAGGAGGCGGCCAGGGGAATGGCTCTGAAGACTTGGTAGTTGTCTGCCATAGCTCACTGCCCAGGCAAGTGAGCCTGGTCCCACCAGGGCTGGGGAGAGGCAAGGGAGGCACTGCTCCACACATGCTGCTCAGAGCTGAGTGTCAGGTCAACAGCTCATTTCCTGCTGTTCAGGCTCTGTGTGAGCAGGTGTGTCCTCAGCACACCTGATGGTGCCCTGCTCCCGGGAGCACCATCCAGGGAGCACCCTACGTATATCGTGGATGGTTCCCATGACAAACAAAGGCCTGAAAGGACAAGTTACACTGTTCAGTAAGCAGGTGTTGTAACACCGGTAACAGACGTTACAGGGCTACTTCAGGAACAGTGAGACTCAGTCCTAGGAAAGGGTAACATCAAGCTGGTGCACTGGCAAAGTTCCCTGATGGCCGAGACAGTCAGAAGCAACTGTGAAATCAGGAATAATCGGAGGGCTTAAGTTACAAAGCTGAACTAAACACAGTGATGGAATTCCCCTGGGCAACTCGGGCTATTGGGACAGAAAATAACAAATTCAGGAAGCTTAACAAATATGTTTTCACGGTTCTAGCGGTCCAAGATGAGGGGCAGCATGGTTGGGTGTGGTGAGGACCCACTTACTGGTTTGCGGATGGCTGTCCTCTCAATGTGTCCTTGGTGGAGAGAGGAAGGTTCCAGTGTCTCGTATTCTAAGGACACAAGCTAGCACCAATCTCCCTATGCTTATGACCTCTTCCAGCCACCTCTCAAAGGCCCCGCCTTGCCATGTCTTCACCTTAAAGGGTAGGGCTTCAGTTATGAATTGTGAAGGAAAAGAGGTATGGTGTCCATAACCAAAATGAAGGCATGATACTGGGGATGTTTTGTACCTGGAAGGAGCTAACAACTCAATGCTTACAGTAATGTGGTGGCCTACGAAGTGTGGTCTTGTCATTAGCACTGGGAAGCAAATCCTATATAGTGACATTTGAGAAACCCAGCGGGTCATTCAGGCTGGAAGGCAAGGGTAGGATTGGTTTCTGTGGGGAAGTTAGCAAAGCAAGTGGCAAGGGCCTGTGTCCTAGGGCTGGATGTGGTTTGGGACAAGTACAGAGGAGGGACTGGGAGCAGTTCGGAAGCTGCTTGTCACATTCTGACTTGGGGTCCCATGGTTAGAGTGAGGGGCTCTACTGCTGGGAACTGTCAAGCATCCCCCACAGGATACCTACTGTTATCCAGGCCTTCCTGTGGGCCAGCAGAGAGTGGACTATTGGGGACATCTTAGTGGCATATAAGTCAGACTCTAGGATACTGGTAATATGGATGAATACATTGAATGGCACAGACCCAGAGCCAGGTTTTGGATCTGAGTGTGAAGAGGAAATTTCAGAAAGGTAGCAGCTGGCATCAGAGGGAAGAGTATGGTACTAGAATGCCACTGCCAGGGCAAAGTGAGCTTCTACTGGGCTGTGGGAAGAGGAAGGGAGGAGCCCTTCCAGAAACTGTATACAGGGCACACAGAGGAGGAAGGCCTTAAATCACAAAGCTCTATGTGGGGATGCCTTCCTTTGGTCAGACTCCCTCTTAGACCCTCCAAATCCCCAGTCAAAGGAGTCACACATCAAGGCCCTGGGGCTCAGCATGGAGGGGCTGTATGATATATCTTGCAGCCAAATGATAAAGGCGAAGCCCGAAGCAGATCAGTAAATGGCCCTAACTCCCACCTGGTCCTGCTGGGAGGCCCATTCCATAGAAAAGAGCCATACCCGGCCTTGCCGGAGGAAAGCCAGTGAGCAGAAACTGGGAGAGGGACCACAAGCTGCTCAAGAACCTGGCAGAGGACAGGACTTGGAAGAAGGCTTGTAATCCCCTCCCGCAATGTGGTGTCCCCCAACCTATCTGCTCCAGGTCAGTCTAGGATATAGCTAACCTGCAAGAACCCAGAGAAGCCCACACCTAGCAAAAATGTTTTATTAGGTATTAAGACTCTCTCTCCCTCCCTCCCTCCCTCCCTCCCTCCCTCCCTCCCTCCCTCCTTCCCTCCCCCCTCCCAGGATGAAGTGGCCCCTGGCCTCCACAGCTGAGCATATGAGGGCAGCTTCTAGCCTGTTGTTTCCTGTCCTCCTGGCAGAGGTGTGTCTGGCGACCAGTTTAAACTTCAGCTCCCATTTACCAGAGGCCCAGGCAGAGTTAGAGTCTCAGGATCCTCAGAACCAGACTTGGGTTCCTAGCAATGAAGAGGAGGAAGAATATTGGCTGAGGACTAGCCAGCAGCAGCTGTCCAATGAGACTTCAAACTTTGGGTTCAGCCTGCTACGGAAGATCTCCATGAGACACGACGGCAATGTAATCTTTTCGCCATTTGGCCTGTCTGTGGCCATGGTGAACTTGATGTTGGGGGCCAAGGGAGAGACCAAAGTCCAGGTGGAGAATGGGCTCCATCTACAGGCCCTGAGTCAGGCAGAACCCCTCATCCTCCCATCCCTCTTCAAAAGGCTCAGAGAAACCCTCTCCAACAATCAGGAGCTAGACCTCACCCAGGGGAGCTTTGCCTTCATCCACAAGGACTTTGACATCAAAGAGACCTACCTCAATCTATCAAAGAAGTATTTTGATACAGAGTGTGTGCCTACAAATTTTCGAAATTCCTCACAGGCCAAAGGGCTTATGAACTACTACATTAACAAAGAGACTCGGGGGAAAATTCCCAAGCTCTTTGATGAGATTAATCCTGAAACAAAGTTAATTTTGGTGGACTACATCTTGTTCAAAGGTATTCTGTTAGTTCTCTGTTGCTGCAAAGCCATGGGAACCTAACCCTCTCTCCCTTTTCTTCTTCTGGTCAGTGTAATTAGTGCAAAAGGATGCTCTACAAGCATGGGCTCTGCTTTACAGGTCCAGCACACATTGAAGAGGGAACGATGCTCTCTCTGAGGCATCTCTTACCACCTGCAGACCTGTGGTCCTCAGTTCCCACAGCTCCTCTGCCTGGTTTTCTTGCTCATGTTTGAGAGAGGTAGCACAGGTGTATTGAATGTGAAGCTCACTATCAGTGAGACTTGGGCTGCATCTCTCATTCTGTTTTTGTGATCTGGGCCAAAAGTGTCCGTGCGTGCGTGCGTGCGTGCGTGCGTGCGTGTGTCTGTGTGCAGGTAAACCCAGAGGTCAGAGGTGTTAGATCGTCCTCGAATTGGAGTTACAGGCAGTATGGGTGCTAGGAACCACACTTGAGTTCTCTATACAAGCAGTATGTGCTCTTAACTGCTAAGCCACCTCTCCAGTACCCTGATCTTAGATTTTTTTTTAATACAAAAATTGGGATTCTAACTTACTATAGGTACAAAGCCACCACAGCTGACATACGCTAGGTACTGCACATTGTGCTTAGAACTTACTACCCACCATGGGACAGGAATAGGTGGCATCTTTGCTATTCCTGGTAGTCAATGTAGCAAGCAGAGTAGGGCCACTGTCTCCTTTCTTAAAGGGATGCAGGTGAAGATTGAAGAAGCTAGGTTGATCAGGATCACAAATGGATGGTAGAGGCTAGATACAAAGAAGGATCCCATAACCTCATTACCCCAATTTTTTCCAGCTCCAACAGGGCACAGGGTATGGTGTGGATGTCTCTGGTACTTAAAGCTGTACCAGGAGACTCACAAAGCCCTAGATTGAAGGGTCATTTGCCAGGACCCCAAAACAGATACTCAGTAGAGTCGTGTAGTGGCCTCTCCTCTCAGAGCCACATGAAGCAATGTTGAATTGGAAAAACCCCTACTATCAGTAAAGTATATGTTTGCATAAGGGCATGATGGGACCATGTGGTAGCCAGGAGTCCCTCATTCAGAGAGTCATTGGAAGCCATCCGCCAGGAAATAAAGTTTTGTTCAGATCCAGAATAAGGGAACAAATGAGAGGAAGGGTCATCTTTGTCTTTGTGGGTGGTTCCATGATGGGTCATGGTTAGAGCTAAAGTTTGATGTTTGGGGAATTCATTGCCTGGGCTATGGTTCAAGCAAACTCGAAAAAGGAGTGGCACTCCCTGTTCGGAGTAAATGGGGTAGGTAGGATAGTCTCTCCTCCACCACTCAAGCAAAACCAGTGTGTTCTGTGGAGGCTTGCTTCCATAGGGGCTTTCTTCTCACTTGTTCAGGGAAGTGGCTGACTCCATTTGATCCCGTATCCACTGAGGCTGACAATTTCCACCTGGACAAATACAAGGCTGTTAAGGTGCCCATGATGTACCGGGAAGGCAACTTTGCCTCCACTTTTGATAAGAAGTTCCGTTGTCACATCCTCAAACTGCCCTACCAAGGAAATGCCACCATGCTAGTGGTCCTCATGGAGAAAACAGGTGACCACTTGGCTCTAGAGGACTACCTGACCATAGACCTTGTGGAGACATGGCTCCAGGATATGAAAACCAGGTATGTTGCTTCCCCTGCTTCTCAGTTTTGGCCTGCCATCCTCATGATCACTCCCAACAGTTTTACCCAATGCTCTGTGGCTTACTGCCCATGTTTCCCTGTGAGTACCAAGCTCCTACAGGTAGAAGCAATATCTGTCCTGTTTTCTATTCTATCTTTAGCATCCTCAGTGTAGGCCTAGGTTTTGTTTTTTTTGTTTTTTTTTTTGTTTTTTCGTTTTGTGAGACAGGGTTTCTCTGTGGTTTTGGAGCCTGTCCTGGAACTAGCTCTTGTAGACCAGGCTGGTCTCAAACTCACAGAGATTCGCCTGCCTCTGCCTCCCAAGTGCTGGGATTAAAGGCGTGTGCCACCAACGCCCGGCGGTTTATTGTTTATTAACTCAGCAAATACAACTATTTGCCTATTGAGATACCTCTTGGTATATGTATTTTTGACTACTATAAAGAGCAAGAAAACTGAAAATTAAGATTAATTTGATGTCATTAGTAGCTTTTTTTTTTTCTGAGCCACAAAACTCATCTTTCCAAATCTCATAATCTCAGAGAACTCTGAGGGAAAATAAATAACCTTGGAGCCTTCCTGGCTAAGATGGCTGGGCTAGTTGAAAGCCCTCTTTGTTTTCTCTGTCTGCTCATCCCCATGTTCTCTGGGGATACTTGGTCTGGGGTACTGGGCTGGGACAGCATCCTCCAGCAGTCTGAAGGGATGCAGGAAGCAACTAGGAAGTTGGTTGGGGTTGTTTTTTCAACATAAGGAAGTGGACATGGAGTGTGGCATCCTTTGCTAATTCTTTGGATTTTGCATAGTGAGCTAAGAAACTAGCTCTCTGGGGGAGACAAAGTGACTCTTTATAAGCCTAAAGTATTTTCTCTGAGACAGAACACTATGAAAGGATCACATGAGCTATGTAAAGTCGGGCAAATATTCTTGGAGGAAGGAAGAAACCATGTCCTTATCAGCAGTCCCTAGCCATTTTACCATCATCTGTCCATGTGCCACAGGAAAATGGAGGTTTTCTTCCCCAAGTTCAAGCTGGACCAGAGGTATGAGATGCACAAGCTGCTCCAGCAGATGGGAATCAGGAGAATCTTTTCCACCTCAGCTGACCTCAGTGAACTCTCAGCCGTGGCAAGAAATCTTCAGGTGTCCAAGGCAAGTCAGGGGCTGCGCTGAGGCCCAGTCCTCAGCTACAAAGCCATTGAAACCAACAAATACTGTGCAAACCATGTCGTTGTGATTAAATGTCTAGCTTTGGTAAGGAATTTTACTCCAGTTCTAATAATTTGAAGTAGCATCCAAGCCGGGTGTTCTAAGAACCTCAAGCCATGCTACTCAAACACCTTTTAAACTAGGTTCTCATTGGAAGAGCTCCACCCCTCTTCTCTCCCAAGGTCTAGGGAGGCATCTGCTCCTCAGACAGACTGCCTTATAACCCATCAGTACCTGTGTTGAATATCAAAAAGGCTCATGAAATTATATCACCTTTAGTATGAAAGAAACCCCTAGTCATCACCTGGCCCAGCCTGCCATGCCTTGTGATGGACATTATACCTCCTCTATACTTACCCTTAGAAGACCCTCTTGTTCTTCCTCTCCCCACTGTTCCCCCTCCTTCCCATTCTTCAGACGAGGGTCTCATCCCTTCTTTGAAAAACAGCCTAATACACAAATGGCTGATTATTTTGCAATATGTTGACTGGTAAGTACTCCAACTCACACTTTTTGGTCCTGTTTCTGAAATACTGAGAACAAGTTTATTCAGCTTTGGTACTAGTAAGCACATACTTTGTATGTATGAGAGCTGGTACCTCTGGAAGATATTTTGAGATGCCTGGACATACCAAACCCTTTGGTGTCCTTCTGGTTAGCACTGCTAGCTCGCACCAAATCTCTTTTGCTAATTAGTGTTCTTCTGGGAAGTAATCTTGGTTCTTGCAGCAGTTCTGTGCACTGCAGTGAACTAGTGAGCATTCCTGGTCTGTGCTCATTGCAACTCTGTCCCTCATCATTACAAACAAGGTTTGATTCAGATTTGTTCATACAATTGTTAATTCTGAGAGATTTAAATTGGTACCCATGTAAGTAGGAGCCAGCAGGGTAACCTCAGCCTGAGTAAAAACAACCAGGGTCCAGGAAGGCACCATAAACCCTGAGGCTTGCCCACAGGAAATGCCTCAGAGCAATATCAGGCAGCCCAAAGTGCCTTCAAGGCCCAGGAGCTCAGCTCAAGAAGCAGCATTACAAAGTACATGTTCAATAAATACATACTAGATGCCCACATGTAGAAATTTACCAGCCAGCTTCCCTGATCCCAAGCCTAGAAGGCATCTCACAGACCCCACACCAGTTGCCATAGCCTCCTGGTATTTTTTTGATTTATGAGGCAGTCTATGGCACAATCTCATGCACCCCTTGGCAAAGATAGGCTGCAACATTGAACCTCAGGAACATGGCTAGGTGGGCAGAACTACTGTGGAGATTTTCTGTCAAGTCCCTTTTCCCATTGCCACACAAATAGTCTTCCGCGTCCTTTCCTTTTCTAGGTCTTACAACAATCGGTGCTTGAAGTAGATGAAAGAGGAACTGAGGCAGTGGCAGGGACACTGTCTGAGATTGTCGCTTACTCCATGCCTCCTGTCATCAAAGTGAACCGACCTTTTCATTTCATGATCTATGAGGAGATGTCCAAGATGCTTCTGTTCCTGGGCAGAGTGGTAAACCCCACTGTCCTGTGACTCAGGCGTGTGTAATCAGATGCTGAGTCAGAGGGGTCTGAACCACAGGACGCCGGTGGTGAATGGTAAAGAGTGTGCCCTCCTCTGCATCTGGCCAGTTTGTTGTGGCTGTTCTCTGATTAACACAGAAATTAAAGTGACTCATATTTTAAGGAGATTCTGTGCAATCTGTCCAGCATTTTAAACTTGCTCCTGAGAGCCTTTGTTGACTGACTGAAGACTAGCTGAGCAGAGTCTTTCTCTGCAGCTCACATGTCTGCATGTTGAGAGCAGTAGGTAGGGCAGCTGGTGTCTCTGGACAGACTCTGGGGAGCACATGGGCATTCTCCTACAGGCATGTTTCTCCCTCTAGTTCTCTCACGCAAAATCAGGGTTTTAATTTAGTTTATCCCAGAATTCCTCTGTCTCTCTTTCCCTCTCTCTCTTCTTCCCCATCCCCACCCACCCTCCACTGACAGGGGCCTACAACATAGCTCTGACTGGCATGGAACTCTATGAAGATCAGGCTGGCCTTGAACTTGAAGAAATCCACCTGCTTCTGCCTCCTGAGTGTTGGAATTAAAGGTGTGCGCCACCATGCTCAGAGGGTTTTTGCATTGTAATATGTTTTAATTAATCACAGAATTCTTTCATTTTTATTAAAATTAGCATGAAATCACCATAATCTATCCTAATCACAATGTCTGGCTCAACAATACCCCCTCATTTCCATGATACATCTAGTCACATATTTCCATCACAGGAACCACAGATCATCCAGTTCAATGCTTTTGTTTTATACAGAAAACAAATGGGCCAGAACTAGGGCCACATCCTGACTTTCAGGAATGACACGTACTTTTTCCTCTGTGCACTCCTTTCTTCCTAAGAGTTTATATATGTACGTATAAATACATATGCTGTAGCAATGAATACAGTCTCAATTATATTTATCTTTTGCCAACAAAAAGTATAAGTCTTGTTCATTGTTGATTAAGGACACATCTTCATGAGCCTTTATCATGTGGAGGGCCTTGACTATAGTGCCCACTGTACGTGATGAATATATCAAGTCTTATATCTCAGTGGGAGGAAAACACTTGCCCAAGGCCACTCAGTAGGACCATGGTAAGTCAATCCTTCCTTCTTACTCTAGTCTCAAGTCTCCATCTTCCCTCTCTAAAAGTCTCTCAGAGACTGCCTTGATCATCCACTGTGGTTAAACAAAAGTAAGCATGGACTTCGTCCCAATATGAAAGGAAAATGAAAATCCCTCTAAAGCATTCTTGGGTAGTCATTTTCTATCTTATAGAAATGAGATAAGACAGTACTTTGGAACTGGGTGGTGGTGGCGCACACTTTAATCCCAGCACTCGCAAAGCAGAGGCAGGCAGATCTCTGAGTTCGAGGCCAGCCTGGTCTACAGAGTGAGTTCTAGATCAGCCAGGACTGTTACATAGAGAAATCCTGTCTCTAAAACACAAACAAACAAAAAGACAGTACTTTGGGATTAATCAGAGATTCCTGAATGAGGCTAACTAGTCTCAAAATGTCAGCTGTGTTGACGAAATTCTGAGTTGCACTTCTATCGGCTGTCTAGTAATAAACACACCTAAAGCTAATTAGTTCCTTAGCGACTTAATGGCTGAAGTCAAGAGTAACATGAACAGGAGACAGTCTAAAGCAGACTTCCTCACCATAGTCTCAACATTAACTCACTCTGTAGTTATCCCAGGCATTAATGGTGTTCACTTAGGACCAGAAAACTCTTGGGCCTAGGAAGAGAGACAAGAGCGGACAGCTCTAACTGGCATTCATAGGTACTTATGTTCAGTTATTTGGTTGTGCTTGTGGGGAAATAGTAGGAAGAGAAATTTTATTGTTTTTAAAGATTTATTTTATGTATATGGATGTTTGTTTGCATGGATATTCGCACACCAGAGGAGAGCTTCGGATCCCATAGGACTACAGTTTTAGGTGGCTGTGAGTCAGCATGTGGACGCTGGGAACTGAACCTGGGGCCAGAAAAGAGGAATTTCTGGCTCTTTTCCCACTTTGAGAGATGAAATCTAGTAAAGCAAGCCTACAGTTATAACCATACTGAAATAAACATAGCCAAAGCCAGTGGCAGGTAGGCCAGCACTGCAGAGGAAGCAGAGCACTGTCAACACACCTAGTTCAAGGAGGTTAGGTTTGCTGACAAAATGAAGATATGAGTGGGTGTTCCTATCTGCTACCCACTTGCATTTTAATCTTCCTGCATATTTGTCTCTGGGATGTGATTTTTAACAAAGATTCAAATTTTTAAAAAGTTTTTAATACTTGTGAAAAGAAATACTTCCAAAAGTAATTTTGAATAACTGTTTAATTGAGAATTTAATGCCTAAGCAATTGACTTCCAACTTTATAAGCAGTGGTGACTATTCTGTCAGATCACTTCCCCCTTATCCCACATATATAACAAGAATATAAAAAGTTTATAACTACTAAGTGTATTATTTAACAATCAAATTGAAACTTTCCATTTTATTTAAAGTAGACAGAGTCAATGCCGACTTTTTGAACCAGAGTACTGGAAAAACTGATGCAGCCTTGAGGTCCCCTTACGCACAATGAATTCTCCAGACCACAGTAGATTCAATCCCACATCACTAACGCTAGTAGGAGACATAAACTAGTTAAACTGAATTCCCTTATGCAGAACAATCAAGTTTCTCATGGCTATTAGACTCTCACTTCTGACCTGACTGTCCTTGATGAATGGTGTTATGAGTCCCTCAATGGTCCCTAAAGAGGTCATAGGGAAGGAAAGGAATGACAAAGAATGAAAAAGCAGTAAGCAGCTGTCCCAGAGTCCTTTTGAGTTAACATAAATCTGCTCCACTTGCTCATTGTTTAAAGATGAACTGCCCTTTCTTCATAGAGTAAGAGCTGTAGGAAAGTATTTAAAACTTTTCTCACAAGTGCTCATTAACCTCTGCTTTATTTTAAACAAGCTCATTATCCATTTCACATTATAAAAAGTAACCACGCACACATATGCATTCACAAATTAGATCATCTTTATGATACATCAATATATCTTTAAAAAACAAGTATTTTCTGATATCAATATAGGTATATGCTGATTGCATTTGAAATAGAGAAGCTGACAATAGCTTCATACATTCTATCTCAGGAACCGATACTTTAAAGTTAAGGACAATCTATGTTCCACAGGCAAACTTGGATGGAAGTATTAGCATCAGTACAAATGGCTGCTGTTGACGTAGCGTGAGCATGATAGCTTGAAATAACAGCTGATTCAAACTAGATTCATCATTTGAAATTAAGGACAGATACAATCCAAAATGTAAACAAAGCATTTATAAAAGAAATTCTGGGAATTAAGGAAATCATCAATCTATCATTTTTAAGGTATTTGTTAGCTAAAATTTTCATGAATCTTTGCAGATTTTCATGGCCGAATCTAGACTGGGGTTGTCCAGGTGCTGACACTGTCACAGGATCCCAGGACCCATAGGACAGTGTTTGGTTTGATTTTTCTTCTTGGCTTAGAGAGCTCTGAGGAAATACAGTGCCTTCCTTACCTCCCGTGTCCCTGCCCAGGTTGCTACCCAAGGAGCAATCAGCTTATCCAGACTGCTATGGAATTTCTAAATGTACAACTTAGAGTAACCAAGAGCAGCTTCTCACAGACAGGCATGTCTCTCCTTCAGTCTGGATACACATCTCAAGTTGGAGCTCATTACACTATACTGGACACTGAGGTTCAGAGCCCACGCTAAAACATGTCATACCTCCTAGGAAATCTAATTCCAAGTAAGGTACGTTTCACAGCAGCTGCATGATGTCCCCTTCCCCTCCACACTTTAACAAGCCCGGCCATCATTGGAGCTCTTTTCCACCGTCAGAGTCTCTGCCGACTGCTTGCCTCCTTCACCAAGCAGTTGACTTAAGGATTGGATTTTCTGGATTTTCTGATGAAAGAAGGAAATAAAGTGGAAGGAGAGAAGGGAGGGAAGCAGGGAAGGAGAAAGAGACCAAAAAGAAGACATAAAACAATTATCCATATAAAGTAAATAAAGAAATGTAAATTAATGCTACTCTGAGTAAGCCTACAACATGAGAACTCTGTTTAAGAGGAAATGAATTACACGTTAAGGATTACTCAGAATTACCTGTAAGTATCAAAGACCACCCTGTGGACACCTAGTATCATCCCCTTCACTTTCCATAACTTTTTCTACACTTTCGATTTTGTATGACCATAGAGGAAATTGCACAGGAATATCAACTGTCTAGTCTAGAAGACAGACGCTATGCCACACACCTGTACTTCCCTTCTGAGACACTGCTTGTCAGCACCAGAGGTGTCATTGGTAAAGCAAGTGCATGCACTGCACAGAAATTTTCTAAGAAGTAAAAACTTCTTAGAAAGTTTTTACTTCTAAGTAAAACTTAGAAGTTTTTCTTGAGGAAATACTTTCTGCAATCACTTCACAGGCTTGTTTTAAATAAAGAGTACCTCTTTTCTTTTCAATTTGGATATGACAGTCTCTGAAACACTATAAAAAGGCCAGTATAGATACCAATCACCCACCCAACCAATGGGCATGCTAGGAGCATATGCCAGGTGCTGCACAGTCTGGCATGTGTGAAGAAGCGGCTGTGTATGCTAGCAAGCCTTCCTTCAGATCACTTGAAACAGGTACAAACTCTGTATCAGTTCTCATGGGTCTTTATTGTGAATTCATTTTGGTAACCATCGGTTACTCAAGAAAATAGGAAATACAGTTTGTAAAAAGGAAATGCGTGTTCGGCAACATAAGAACAGACAAAGTATCTGGAATAAAGGAAAGCCACCACAAAATACTGGTTCAGCAGTCTTTTCTCTAAAAAAATAAAACTAGTTCTGATGATGCTACCATGTTCCTCAGAAGCTCAGGGCAGTAAAAAAGAGGGTCTGGATTATAGTGGAAAAAAAAAGATAGTTTATTTTCTTTTTAAAAAAAATTAAAAAAGAGGGTCTGGGGTTAAAGAGAGAAATCTCAGGATAAAAAGAGGCCCCTTAAAGGAGCTATGGGCCAGATCTGCTATTTGACAGATATGTATAAAGCCCGAGGGCCAGGCTCAGCAATACACAGCGACTTTCCTCATACTTGAGTGGGTACAT